TCCTATTTTCTTTCTTCCACTTTCTTTCCTTTTCAAATAATCCTACTTAATTTATTCTGAGCTGTATTAAAAGGAAACATGCAAGTAATGGCAAATTTATGTGACAAATTTTAATTATATTGCATCTACACTGCTTATTTTGGCTTTGACAGGCACGGTTTCTCCTATCTAAAGTGAATCCTTCTCAGACGCATAATAATCTGTACACATGGGGACAAGTAAGTAATGAAGTGTTTGGTTCTGTGGCTATTGTGCATGCACTCACAATTTATGACATACATTACATAAGGAGCAGGAGTTTGTCAGTTGATTTTGACCATTGGGTGGAGTTGGGCTTTGTTAACTGGGAATTCCTTGTGTTTAAAAGTGTTTGAAAGATAGACAATAAATTATATGGTTTATGGGCCAAAACAGCATAAACTAGACTTGGGACATTCATTCATTCATTGACTCATTCATATATTCATTCATTCATTCATTCATTCAAGTCTTAATTTTTAAAAATAGAAATCAATAAAAGTACAATACATGATGTGAATTATGCTGTAGTTTTCCAACTTTACCACATTTTATGTTGGCTCAGATTTTATTTCTAAACTATAATTTCTTATTTCAGGAACCTGGTGCACCTATACTAACAGATGATGTTAGTCTACAAGTATTCATGGATCATCTAAAAAAGCTGGCTGTATCAAGTGCATCCTAATTTTGATACTAAAATCTCAAAAGACTAGAAGATTTCCAAGATCCCTTCCAACTCTGTTATTCTGTAAATTTTGTAATTCAATAATCTTATTGAATCATGCTGCAGATAGATTACAGTCTACCAAGAAATTAATAACATTCCTTTTTTTAATCAAAGTTTTAATTAACCCATATAAAAAGGGGAATTTTACATGTTAGATTTAACTTATTAATATACTTCTATAAATTCTTCATTTTCATGTACTTATCCCAAGATCAAAATCTGCATTTATACTGTCCTGCATAGTTCATATTTCTACTCTTACAACTAAGCAAAATAAACCTTATAATAGTGTTAAGCCTTAATGTATTATGTTCTCTACCACTTATTGGGGGCAGGGTGAAAGGTTTACCATTCCTAATTTTCTGGCTTGGATAGATGCAATGAGTTAGTATTGCCAGACTATGAACAGTTATTTATTACAATAATAGTCATAGTACAGATTGATAGAAATGGTTAAATGTAAATTGAGGAATTATCTGAATATTAAAATAGTATAAGATGCAAAATAATCTAACAGCAGTCACATAAGATTCTGTTTTGTAATAAAATTTCTTTAATAGATATACATTCTTTAACTATGAGAAAAAGAGAAAAATGCAAAAAACAGTTACACAACTGACAAGATTTAGTTAGTGAATACAATATTTCTATATATACAGGTAGTCCTCGATTTACAACAGTTCAGTTAGTGACCAAAGTTAGAACAGCACTGAAAAAAAGTGGCATGACCCCATTTATGACCATTGCAGCATCTCCATGATCATGTTATTTATATTTGGAAATTTGACAACTGGCTCATATTTATAATGGTTGCAGTGTCCTGGGGTCAGGTGATCAGCTTTTACAACCTTCTGACAAGCAAAATCAATGGAGAAGTCGAATTCACTTAACAATTATGTTACTAACTTAACAACTGCAATGATTTACTGAAGAGATGTGGCAAGAAAAGATGTGAAATGGCAAAACTCACTTAACAAATTTTTCACTTAGCAACATAAATTTTGGGCTCAATTGTCGTAAGTCAAGAACAACCTGTATTGGGTGCTGATTGGTTATAACTTCTCCCTAACTTCTGTTAGATTCAATCTTAGGTTCAGTCTTAGGTTCAATCTTTTTCTAATTATCCCATTTTGATTGCATGGCCAAAAAATGGAAAAGGTCAATATTTATCCCAAAGTAAAGAAAGCCTTAATACCACAGTGAGTAAAATTCTCTTGAATATAATCCAGCAATGTTTGAATCCAACTGCCAACAGAGAACTACCTGATTTATAAGCAGGATTTCAGAAAGGAAGAGGAACTTGTGATCATATTGTCAGTCTACGCTGGATGATAGAAAAAACAAAGGTATACCAAAAATACCTCTATGTGTGTTTCATTAACAATATTAAATTCTTTTGACTGTTAATCATGACAAGCTCTGGAACTGCCTGCCTTAAACAACTGAGAATACCATCATACCACATCCAGCTCATTCACTCATTGTACTCTGATCAGGCAGCCACTATAAGAAGGCGTATAGCACTTGGAAGAAATGCATAAATAACATCTGAATGAGTAAAGACATCAGCCTCACAACCAAATGCAGATTAGTTAGTGCAATATTTTTCCAATTGCTACTACTTATGACTGAAACGTGGACTCTGAAAAAGGGCAGATAGAAGGGTGGATGCTTTTGTTGTGGCTCGTCAGCTGCCAGTGGAGCTGGCGGCAGAATTGAACGATGAGAGGGTTGGGGAGGAATTTGGGCCAGTTCTAGAGTCTGGAGAAGGCTCTGATAGATGCTCTGTTGGATGCAGAGATAGAGGCAGGGCCATCTGACATTTTCCAGTCATCGGAGAGACAGCTGCCCTCAGAGACTGATATGAGCAAAGAGGAAGTACAGTTGGGGCCTGTTCCAGATGCATCTATGCGCAGAGTTGTTAGGAGAGGAGAGGGGAAAAGCAGAAGTCAGGGAGTCACTCAGGAAGCAAAGCACGTGGATGCTGACTGCCCCCTTCCTGGCTGGGAGAATAAATAGAAGGAAAGGGGAGTGGTTGTTGGAGGAGACAACAGTTCATCTTTCTGAAGACTTCTCATTGTGTTTCATGCCAGAGATTGCTTGCCAGAACTTATATTTGCAGCCTTTCAGCTGGGAGCTCATGGCCTTGTAATTATTGCAAGGAACTGATAAGATCTGTTGCTGCCATTAATTCTTTGAAGGACTATTACCTGGACTTTTCGGTGGGTGAATGCAATTAATTCACAAGAGGTAAGTAAAAAGGGGTTTTTCATGACAAGGAGTCTGTTTCTTGCTCCTGCTAAGACTGGGTCAGAACAGCTGGAGGCAACTATTGTGCATCCCAACTGCAAAAATAACAAAATCTAGACTGAACCTCACCAAAAATATCCTTTGAAGCCAAGATTGCCAAACAGAGGCTGTCATACTTTGGTTATGTCATGAGAGATGATTTGAAAAATCTATCATATTGGGAGTCATCAACAGAAAAATGAGAAGGCCACCTAGTACCTGCTGGCTGGATGCTATAAAAGATACCTGGATGACCACAAGAGATCTGAAGGAGGCAGTTAAGAGACAGAAGGGCATGGACAGTGTTGATCCATTGAGTGACTGAGAGTCAAACACATCTGAATGGCTGGTGATGATCTTAATCAAATGTTAATTTTAGCTTTTTATATTAAACTAGTACAGGACTATCAAACGCGTAGCCTGTGGGCCAGATGCATCACGCGCTGGGAATACCCATGTCTGGTTTAGCGAAGGGAAGCCGTGATACATCACATGATGATGCTGTGACAATCCAAGTTTGATATCCCTGAACTAGTGTATATCCTTTTCTCTTTAACAATAGGTAATCACTTTGAAAATAGTTGGGTACATTTATTATTATTACTATTTATTATGGTAAGTAGCAATGTGGGTTGCTTTTCATCTTGATGTGTGACCCTGGCTGTTACAATTTAGTATTTCCTTTGAACGTGCTATTACAGCTTTATGCCAACACATATAGCATAGTGTTAAATGGGAATAACTGCTGGAATCCTGACAATAGCAGCTAACATCTCTTACCTTCATTGGCAATGGCTAAACAAAGCATGGACAAAAGAAGATTCTAAGGAAATGAAGATATCTGAAACATTTCTTTATAGAAGAAAGGAGTGGGTCTATAGAGAAGCATTTTCTTGAGAGGCTGGTTATTTCAGTTCAGCTGTTACCTGGCAAAGAGCAAGAACATTTGTTTTTTTTAATCAATATCAAAATTTATGGTTTTGGCCTTGTAATGGCTTCCAAATATTTCTCTATGGCTCATTACATCATCTGATACCTGGAACATTGCAATGTGCTTTACATAGACTGCCCTTAAAGACTGTTTTAGAAGATATAGTTGGTCAAGAATCCAGTGGAGCAGGAAATGTATTGAATTGAGCTCTGGTGGCACAGTGCTTAGATTGAAGTGCCCATAGCCAGGAGTTCGATCCTGACTGGCTCAGGGTTGACTCAGCCTCCCTTCTTTACAAGGTCACTAAAATGAAGACACACCCCTCCCCCATTGTTCAGGGCAATATGCTTTTACTGTAAATCACATGGAGAGTGCTGTAAAATGGGGGGGGGGTACATAAGTCCAAGTGCTATTGCATTGTATGCTGCCCAGAGTCACTTTGGATAGCAAAATGGGTGGCATATAGATGTAATTTTTTTTTAAAAAATCACATGGTTTGGTATGCCCATGTGATACCACTGCCCCACAAGCTGTACTGGTTGTCAATGACCTGGATGCAATTCAAGATACTCCTAATTAAGTATAGGTAATTATGGATAGCCAGCCTCAGAACTGGTTATCAAAGATATCAAAGTGGCAGACAGCTTCTGCCTTTTACGATCAACTATCAATAGTTAAGAACAATGTAGGTTGATTCCAAAATTAGCTGCCCTAAGCACAGATCGGAATTAATCATGGCCAGAAATTGAGTGAGGGCGTTTTTAAAGCCATTGTTTACATCAGTTTCTCAATCTTGGTAACGTTGCTGACCAGGGAATTCTGGGAGTTGAAGTCCAGACACCTTAAAGCCGCCAAGATTGAGAACCTCTGATTCACCGGAACACCTTCAGAAAGGTCAGTTCATTTAAGCGTTTCTTAAATGCGGGGAGTGGGGGGAAGAGAAGGCTGCCGAAAGCTTCAAGACAGGATATGACATCAGAGGAGGCGGAGAAAGCAAACCGCGAGGTTAGGTAGCGGCGGAAATGAGGAGCAAGTGTTCTGCCTCGCTCGGTGTTACCGTGGTCCGGTGTCTTTCCTGCGGCCACTAATCGGGCCGTTTCCCCGTTGGACGCAGAGATGACGAATGGTGACCTCAAGGCGCAGCGGGCCGTCCTGTGGTCGCGTCGGTTCTCTCTGCTGTACGCGATGGGAGTGTGGACGGTGATTGGGTATTTAGTTTCCCAGTCAGTGCATTTCAAGGAGATACCACTGGAGGAGAAGAAGGAGCCTCCGCCTCAGCCGCCTCCCGGTATATCCCGAGCGCCTAGATCTTTGGCCCCGGGGAGGCAGTTTTTCGGGTTGAATTCTTCCGTTGGCTAAGCCACTGTTTGTTTAAACACGGTTTACTGAACAGTCGCAACAGTAACAGGGTTCAAGTCCATGGTTCCCAGACTGCGGTGGTTAAACTCATGCCACACGAACCCTGAGCGAAATTCACTGGCCTTAAACAATCTGACTTGCAAGAAACCATATACAGAGGTTGATAATATACAACCAAACTCTTGCAGTTTGTGAAGCCAGTTACAAATATGCCAAGGCTCCTATTCTGGGTTAGCTTTAGATACAAAGACAATGGGTTAGAGAAAGAGTGAATCCAGGGAAAATTAGGAAAGATGGATATTTTCCTGAAGGCGCTTGCTTTTTTCCATTAAACTGAAATATTTCAGATAGAGTGAAATTTTATTTTAGAGTAATAGATGCAACAAGAAGAGATGTTCAAATTTATCTGAGTCCCAGAAAACACTTCAGCTTCACATGTTTTAATTCTGAAAGTCTATTAAGAGGATAGATATGAAGGGCTAATAACGATAGCTGAAAAAACGAGATTAAATACTACTGTGACAATGCCTAAAGAGAAAACCTGTATAGGAAACTGCTTGTTCTTGTTTCCTGAAAATATAAATATGTGGAGTTGTCAGAGACACATAATTTTGTATGATGTTGATAGTTTCTTCTGTGTTAAAGTATTATTTTTGGCCAATTTTCAAAGTAACAATATTAAGGGATCTTAAGTTTGCAATTTACATTTTGGGTGTTGACAGATTTAAAATGGACTAGGGGTAAATTCAACTTGGTAAGCACAATAAGTTTAAGTAACCCCAGGTATGCATAAGGCAGTTTTTGTGTTCTAAGAATACCAAAGCAAACTTGAGAAAAGGATGGTAAGAGAATTAATATATTTTGTATTGAAAATTTCTCCACAAACTCATTTTTTTTCCTGGAAAAAATGTTTAATAAATAAAAAGCTAATTTTGAATTGTAGTTTATATCTCATTGGCTCAAAATATGTAATATGCAAACTTCCACACTAATTTTAGATTAAGCATATCCAAGAAATACCATATATTGTATAATTGATTTTTGTACATTTTAATGTGTCATTTTTTATATTAAAACAATGCAGATGAAGTTAAGATTTTGAAACTTTATTTGTTTTGTAAAAATAGAACTCGCTCATATAGTCTGACCTCCTAAAATTCTTATCTTTATCCATTTAGATCACAATGAATATTCCAGAAGTGTTTGACAGGAGCAGAAGATCAAGAAAACTGGATTCATATTAACAGCAAAAACTAGTTCATCTGATTTTGTGCCATATTCTTTTCATTTGCATAACAAAATGCTGTCACCTTTTAATAATAATACTGGGAAAGACAAGTAAATTATATTGAAAAAAAGAAGTACCACAGTGTCTATAACTTTTATTAAAGAGTTGCATGAGATCTAATTTTGAAATAACAGTAATTGGAAAGTACTGTGTGTGTTCTGTCAGCCTATTATGAAACTATAACCCTGCTTCATCTTCATGCATTTGAATACACAGAATATAATTTTATATATTTTCTTTTGTTTATAATTTATTTTTAATATTTCTCCCATAGAGTTTAGTGTTTATGATATCTTTGTTTTCAAGGATAGAGAATTTCTGCAGCACTTACCTCTGATGTTTGAGTTGGGAAAGGATGTTAGATGGTTTCTGAATATGGTAGAAGAAACTTTTGATCTTTCAAGTTTTAGATCCTCCTGGTTGCCAGATACAGTTCAGGATAGCTATACTATACATTGCTGGTTTCATGACAAGGAATACATTCAACGTTTTTGAACTAGAGTTTATAAAGGCTGATGTGGTATTTTGGACTTAAAAAGAAAAGTAAAGTGGCATATTCCTTACCATACAATGATTTCAAGAAGGCTTGTTCTCTTCACCTATTTCATTTTTTCACATACTTGTAATGGAACAGTTTATAAATGGTTTTTCTCTGTGTCTGAATAAGATAAGGTATAGTTCAGCAATGTTATGTATGAAGTGTAGTTAAGATATTCTGCCTTAATATTTTGCCCAAAGCCATTAATTGGTTTAGCATGCTGTGTATGCACAAGGTATTTTGCTTGTTATTAACAGAAGAGCTGTGTTCTGATGTGAGGATTAATATGTAAAAGGATTAAGCATAAGAAAAAGCTGAAGCAAACTCTGAAGTTTGCCTGATTATGATTTATGAGCTGTATTGCTCCTTTGTGCCTTTGAGCATTTGCTTGATTATTTGATGGAAACTTATCAAGGAAAATTAAGAAGAAAATTCCTGACAGAACAACTAATTACTGGAACAGTTTGCCTGTAGAAGTTGTGGATGCTCCATCATTGGCGGTTTTAAAGAGATTGGAAAACTATTTTTCCAGAATGGTATAGGGTCTCCTGTTTGAGCAGGGGGATGGACTAGAAGACCTCCAAGGTCCCTTCCAACTCTGTTATTCTGTATCTGGAATTACAAGGTCATCATTTCTCTTATCTCATTATTCAAGAATGGAAGATTTGAGACAACATTATGAGTCCTTTTGTATCCAAGGAAGGCATTTTCAATAAAGGCTAATAAAGCTATATTTCTTAAAAATATAGTAAAGGCAAAGGTTCCCCTCGCATATACATGCTAGTTGTTCCAGCTCTGGGAGGGCGGTGCTCATCTCCGTTACAAAGCCAAAGAGCCAATGCTGTCCGAAGACGTCTCCATGGTCATGTGGCCGGCATGACTAAATGCCGAAGGCGCACAGAATGCTGTTACCTTCCTACCAAAGTGGTCTCTATTTTTCTACTTGAATTTTTACATGCTTTCTAACTGCTTCTCAGCTCCATTTGTGCAAGTGGGGAGGCACACAGTCACTCATCACTTCCATAGCCTGGTTCCAAAAGGGTCAAGGCCCAGTTGTGGCTAAATAGCAAACAAACTAAATCAAGAATAAGCCTAAGGTGCTGCTGGTAAGGAGTAGATATACCTAGTTTCTGTAATCCATGTGTTTTGGCCTCCAGCCCCCTAAGCATCTTTATTGCTCTTCTCTGCACTCTTTGTACAATGTCAACATCTTTTTTGTATACAAGTAGTTTTCAACTTACGACTATAATTGAGCCCAAATTTCTGTTGCTAAGTAAGGCATTTGTTAAACTTTGCCCCATTTTATGACCTTTCCATACCAGTAGATGCTAAGTGAATCACTGCAGTGGTTAATCTAGTAACACAATTGTTACGTGAATCTGACTTCTCCATTGGCTTTGCTTGCCAGAAGGTTGCAAAAGGTAATCAAGTGACCCCAAGACCCTGCAACCATCATAAATATGGGTCAGTTGCCAAGGGTCAGGATTTTGATCACATGACCACAAGCATGCTGCAACAGTCATAAAAGTGAACAATGGTAATTTTCTTTAATGTAGTTGTAACTTCAAAGTTCACCAAACTTCAAAGTTCACTACCGTACATCTGGAAGAAACACTATGGATCAATTTCAGTTAGGGTTTTGCTCAGGATATAATGCCCAGTCCACTTTGATTACCTTGATCTATTCAAAAGAGGTAAGAATCTATTCAGAGGTAAGAACTATAGCCTTTCTAATTCTCAGTGATTTTTAATATGTTTAATAATGGTTCTTTGAGACCATCTGATGTGGATATGCGGAGTACTTTGCACAGTTTCTTTTTCTTGCTGAGTGTTCAGAAAATGGTGTATGGATTACTATTTGACATCCAGGTCATTTACCAATAGTGTCACATGGATTTTTATCTTCTCCCCTTTGCTAAGTGAAACCATTAGGTGAAATCATTTGGAGCATTGGAATGGATTGCCATCAGTATGTTGGAGAAACATCTCCGTTTGGTAACTTTAAGGAGGTTGCTGGTATTGTGGAAGATTACCTAAGGTCATTCATGTTCTGAGTTCCCCAACCTTTTTGGCTTTGCAGACCAGAGGGGAAGGAGAGGGGCTGGTTCAGTGCATGCAGTGCGCAAGCGCATGTGTGCAGTTCCATTTGCACAAGTGGGGATGTGTGCATGCACTTGCCTACTACTTCCATTACCTAGTTCCGAAAGAGTCAAGGGCCAGTAGTTGGCCCTGGGCGGGGACCCCTGGACTAAATAGCAAACACACTAAATCAAGATAAATCAAACTTGCTAGTAAGGAAGAAACCCAGGTAAAGCCATTCTGAACAGGACTAGCTATACTAAAAGAAGCAGATCCAGCAACCCTTCCTGAGCTGATTGGCCTTAATGACAGTTATCTATGCACTTTGATTATATTGTAACTTTACTAGTAGAACCGACTTTATATGGGATTGCCGTTAAAAAGGGACTGGAAATTGCAATCTTACAAAATGTGGTGGCTACCCTTCTAACCAATGAAAGATAGAGGGATCATGGAGGGCCTGTAATAAAAAGTTTGAATGGACTTCCAGTTGATTGCTAAACATCCTCTAACAGGATGATGACCTTGAAAGTAAGTCTGAGTCTGAGTCTGCACAAGATGAGAAAAATATCTCTATTCCTTTGGTCTTCAGAGATCCCAAGCTCCTGGCTCAAGATCCAGAAGGATCTTGACAGACTTGAACACTGGGTACTATCTAACAAAATATAATGTGGCTCAAGATGGGGAGCCAGCAACAGCTGTCTAACAATTTTGACATCAACACACAGTGGAAAGCGAAATGAGCTGCTGAATGCCAGATACAGGCAATTAAATAGATGACTCTACACAAAAGGTGCCAGGTTTCAACCTTCGTCAGCATTGGTCAACTTTGAACAGGATCTGTACCCAACATGGTGTCTGCCAGGACTCATTGTTTAAGTGTGACTGTGGTGCTCCTCGACAAAATATCCATCACATTGTGTCCAAATGTCCATCAAGAACTTACACTGGCCCAATGTCTGATTTTTTTCAACATAGACTATCCTGTCCTTGAATGGCGGGGTGGACTGGACATTAACATTTGAACCACTATAGGGCCATGTTCTTGCCATATGCTAAATAAATAAATCTAACAAAATGAAATTCAGTAGTGGGAAAAGTAAGGTTCTACATTTTGGGCAAGAAAACCCAAATGCATAGGTGTAGAATGAAAAGAAATTTCCTCATTAATCAGTAGACCTGGTTGCCTCCCAAAGTTGAGGGTGCTCCATCACTGGAAGTTTTTAAAAAGAGGTCGCACAACCATTTATTTGTCTGAAATGGTATAGAGTTTCCTGCTGAAGCAAGTGGGTTGGGCTAGACCTCCAAGATCTTGTCTAATTGTTATTCTTAGTCGTAGGTTAGTTTCCGCGGAGGCATCTCTCCTGTTTTTCACACTGAGGAGTTTGCTAATAGTCTTCTGATTCTGGCCTAGTTTAGAATAACTTGGAAAAATTAGAAAAATCAGAATAATTCACACTGTTACATAGACTACGAGCTTGCGGCGAGAAGGAATCGATCGGTATTTTCAAGCATCTCGGTACGGATGAAACTAGCATCGGCAGATGAACTGCAGAAAGAGGGATTTTTCTTCAGCTTGAGAAGCACCTGGAAGAGAATGTGCAGTTTGACTGGAGCAAACTTTTTAAAAAGTCCTGCCATTTCTAGTATTGATGCGGAAGAAAGACGGGGTTTAAAAGAAACCGAAGCTCAGATTTTTATTGCTACGTGCTCAGCTTCGTGGAAAACAGGCGCGCTCAGAGGCGACGTTAGACTTTACGGATTTTTATCGCAACTATTCGTTAATCTTGGCAGAGTCCCAAATCCTACACAAGGTTGAATGGGAATAGTTATATAGAAAAGAGACCGGCCGGGCGAGGAATATATTACGAAGTCGAAAAGGCACCTCGGCCTTCAGCATTTATTTCCCTTTGGCTGCCAGGAAAACTTGATTGGGGAACATTATTTTTACGATAAGCTTTTATTGCATTCAGAGGATATAGTGGGGGACCCGGTAAGTTTTGAGGGGACTCAGAAACGTGGGAAAAATCCACTTCTAGAAATTATACATCCATAGCTCAGTGTGGTAAGGGCCGGAAGCAGTGTTGCTCTGCTTCCGGTCCAGGCTGGAAGTTGTGCTAGGCCGCTCCGGATCCCTAGGAGCTCGGCGTGATGAAGGCCATCATCCAACGTGTCACTCGAGCCAGCGTGTCAGGTTCGCGGGAGCCGTTTTATGTTCCGATTCCGTTTTCTGTCAGCTGCCCAGCGTCCGTGGGCTCGCGTTTACCCCCTGACGCGGTGATTTAGAGGCCGTGTCTTCAGCTCTGCCATGCCGACGGGGCTTCTCGTAGCCGAGCTCCTTCAAAACCAACCAACGGATCGTATGTTCCGTTAAGCCCTGATTTGGCTTGAAATGTATCCTCACTTGGACATTGCTCCGAATCCCAGTTCTTTGTGGCAAGTCCGTATGGTTCATGTATTTGTCCACATCCTTCTTTTATCTTTAAAGCAACTTAAGTGTGGAACAAAAAAAGGAAGTGTGAACAGAAGTCCTAAATTGTTGATTCGTTATCTTATTACACAATACGCAAGGTGCTCTTTAGAGAACGGTAATTTGTGAGGATCAGCAGTCTCTTATGTGTTTTATACAGCAAGTGCAAAATTTATACACTGATATTATATCTTCATAACAACAGATTCGACAACTTGCATGTCTTTATTTAGGCAGAAGTAATATCCTGGCTTGATTTATTCAAAAGATTCTACATTATTTAATCATTTCATTGTAGTGTGGGAGTTTTAGAAGCATAATGTCTGTAATGTTTATTATTTATAATGTTTTTATCATTGTGGACTAAATCCTCACAAATTAGCATAGGATAAAAATATATAAATCAAAATAGTTACGGGAACATAACAGAGACAGAGAAAGTACACTCCGGAAAGACAGTGAAATGTTTGGTAAAATAAAAACAGAAAATAGGAACTGCTTATATGCCATAAGAATAATTATTAGATTTAATACAAATCCAAATTCCGAAAACATTTGCACAGAGGCTAGCTTAGAATTCCCTTTAATTTGTGGACAACATTGAAATATCCTATTGATTAAAATAGGACGGTAACCATATGCTTTGCTTCCTTTGTCATAATTAGGTGGATGCAGTTACAGCAAAATTTCAGAAAAATGTTGATTCTGAGGTAGATTGTTAAAGATTTCTTTTTGTTTTTATTTTTAAAATATTAGTTGCCAGTGCATCCATGCAGAATTGAAATGTTATATGTTATAGTATAATAGTTACTGGTTGAAGGATTATAAAAGCAACAAGCTCATTACATATTAGTAGATGCATAAATCTACTTTCAGAGAAAAACAAATATAAAGACCAGCATGCCTTTGGGATGTAACATATATGACCTCCTTAGCCGAAGGTTTATTTGTAATGGGTTTGTTGCTTTTATAATCCTTCAATCAGTAACTATTAGAACATAGTAACACAATTGGAAATAGAAGGCAAAAACTGAATATATCTCTAAATGCAAAATATTTAATAAATCCTCATACAATCAATTTATATATGATAGGATGATATCAATATTTTAATACTTAAATATTTTAACATCTAAAAGGAATCTTTCAGACAAAATTCTATCTAACCAGTAAACCTCTTCAATAGGAATTTTACACATATACACTTCTAAACCTGACCACACAAACTAAAATATTTCACATGCTTAGGAAATACAGCCAATTTAAATAAATCCAGATGTTTTATTACAGAATTGTAAACCATGCAAAATTTAACCAATCTTGATGTGAGAAGAGAAACTAGTTTATTAAAAAATATGTTTTGTAAGCAATTGTTAAAAAAAATCTATCTCCACTGGAAATAAAATTGTGACACTTAATACAACTCTATAAAATAAGTTGCTTTCTGCATTTAGGAATAAGAAACTTTTGCATGTGTATGTATAGGGATATGACACAAAATACATTTAACTTCTTAAAAATATCCCTTATAGTTGGTGAGGAACAAATAAGTTCCATTGGACGTGGCATTTGTGTGCTGTTGGGTATCTCTGTGGAAGACACACAGAAAGAGCTTGAGCACATGTAAGTATTTAACTTTTCTTCCACTTTGCAATTTACATATGTTTTACTTAAACAAATGATAGTTCCTAAATTTTTGCATCAGTTGTTATATATAGAATCTACAACTACTGTAAATCTCTTTACATTATCTTTGCTCCCCATTTTCTGGTCTTTATATTTGTAGAATATAATGTAGAATATATAGTACAGATAGAATATTGAATAACTTAATTTCAGAAAAGTTTCATAAAGGCCTCTGATTTTTCATACAGGGTTCGAAAGATATTAAATCTCCGTGTGTTTGAAGATGAAAGTGGGAAACACTGGTCTAAAAGTGTGATGGATAAGCAGTATGAAGTGCTATGTGTTAGCCAATTTACTCTTCAATGTATCCTGAAAGGAAATAAACCAGATTATCATATGGCAATGCCGTCTGATCAAGCAGAATCTTTCTACAACAGTTTCTTAGAGCACCTTCGCAAAGCATACAAGACAGAATTAATTAAAGGTAAGGCAAAATTAAATGATGAATTGAAATATTTCTCAGGTAATAAGCTAGGTTCCTACAGAAATTGCTATACTTTGTAATTTATTACACTATAATTCTTCTTTTAGTAAAATGATGTATTTGGTTTTGGGTATGTGGGAATGAAAATGAGTGCAGATATAAGAAAAAGTCTATGTGAATCACAGGAGAGAGAGATCATAAACACATGAAGAAAAAGATGAATTTTTGAATTGGCATATTCCCCATTTAAAAGCTAGGGTGAAGAGTATATTTGCCTCCCTGGTTGCCTGGGAGACTTCTGACCTAAGGGTCTCACAAAAAGACAATTCTTGATTTCTTTCAGTTGTGTTTATGTGTTTTATAAGCCTAATTTCTTTCTTCTGCTTTGATTCAAGAGTGAACCAATTCCTTTTACTTAAAAAAGGTGTGAGAGAAAATATTGCCTCTGGGTGTATATTTCTTTGAGGCGTTTCTTCTTTTCACCATTTTTTTTTCAAATTCTCCTTCCCCTGTTCACCATGAGTTTGTTTTAAATCAGGAGTAAGTAACCTGAGTCCACAGTTATTCCATGGCCACTAGAACACCACTGGTGGAATTTTCATTAATGCCTTTTTTCTATCTGTAGGCAACAGAGGATGGAATAGATACTGCAGTGGCATTGATTTCTACATTTAGCTCCCTAGTCCTCAAAATTCACAAAAAAGAGAGTAATGTTTTTATTTCTGCCACTTAGTGATGTTACTGTATCCTCAGATATGCCCCACAATTTCCCAGTGTCTGCTTCAGGGCCAGTCAGAACCATGCAGTAATTCGGATCATTTTACATTTGATTTGATATATTTACATCTTTTAAAAAATTGTTTTCTGGGCTAGAACATAGCACTTGTTAGCTGTGTATTTAGTCCCCAGTAAAATAAAAAAGGTAAGATCTAGATTGATTTGGTAGTAGGAGAGATATATACAAAGTTATCATTTTGAATTTTTTTTACAGTTTGAATCTCATAGATTCAAGAAGTTATAGATTTGAAAAGAAAGTATTAAAAAGTCAAGATTGAATTATCTTCATTATGTTTTGGTTTGAATTAATGGTAGAAGTATGATGATTTTAACAAAAGGAGAATTAAATATTGTTTATGGACAAGTACCCTTTCTCTTTTTGCCATCCAACTTTAATTTTTCAGATGGCAAATTTGGCGAATACATGCAGGTACATATTCAGAACGATGGACCTGTGACCATTGAACTGGAGTCTCCTACAGCCCCTGTTGACTCTAAACAAGTATGTTGTGGTAGTGCTTTTCTTTACCTACCTATTTTGAGATAGTCCGTATGTTGATATTAAAAGCCTTAACTATATTCTGCGAGCCTCATGTTTATGTTCTGACCTGAGAATAGCTAATCCTCATCTGGACAATAATTATTTTAAAAAGAAGTGAGGTTTCTCTTTGAGAGCATTAAAAACTTGTTAAGAAAATATTACTGCAACAACAACCATGGAAGAATGATAAACTAGTGATGATACTTTTGGATCATTATTGCTTTTGCCTCTTTTTCAGCTGAGGTTTTATATGTTGCCAAAGCATTGTTACAAAACCTTGAGTGTATTTTATTGTTATGTTTATAAGTTACTTAGAGTGTTTGATAGTTTTATATATCAGTCAATAATCTCGATGTACTTTACTGACACTGGATTGTAAGAGAGGATAACTAGAGTAGAATAGAATACTTTATTGGCCAAGACAAGGAGTTTGTCTTTGGTGCATATGCTCTCAGTGTACATTAAACAAAACATTAATCAAGAATAATAAAATATAACACTAAGCAATCAAATAATACTAGGAAACTAAATAAAAAATTAAATTGTAAAGATACAAGCAACAAGGTTATAGACATCAGTGGGAGGAGATAGATAATAGGAAGGATGAGAATAATAATAATAATGCAGTCTTAGTAAATAGTTTGACAGTGTTGTGGGAATTACTGTATTTTTCAGAGTATAAGACACACTTTTTCCACCCCCAAAAGTGGGTGGAAATGTCTGTGCATCTTATACAGTCAATGTTGCCAAAGTCCCGCCCAGCCACCGGCCCCTACCCTTTGGCCTCTGCCTCCCAGCAATTTGCCTCCTTACGGTAAACACCCTGTTTCAGTTTCAGCACAGCCTGATTAGCACAAGCAGCTGATTATCAGTTGGATCGGCCTCTCAACGATCAGCTGTTTCAGGCTACAGGGATTGCCTATTGCCCCCTCCGCGTGCCCCATTTTTGGCCTCTGCATCCCATTTTCGGCCTCCGCACACCCCGTTTTTGGCCTTTGTGCCCATTTTCTGCCCATTCCGATCCACACCGCCTAAATCGGGTGGAAAATGGGCCATGTGGAGGCCAAAAATGGGGCGTGCAGAGGCCGAAAATGGGATGCAGAGGTTGAAAATGGGGCGCGCAGAGGGGGCAATAGGCAGTCCCTGCAGCCTGAAACAGCTGATCGTTGAGAGGCCGATCCAACCAAATTTGCTGCTTGTGCTAATCAGGCTGTGCTGAAACTGAAACAGGGTGTTTGCTGTGTGCTGCAAAGAGGCAAATTGCTGGGAGGCAGAGGCAAAGGCAAGTTTTTTTTCCTCCTTATTTTCCTCCCTAAAAGCTAGTTGTGTTTTATACTCTGGAGAGTCTTATACTCTGAAAAATATGGTAGTTGTTTAGCAGAGTGATGGCATTTGGGGAAAAACTACCCTTGTGTCTAGTTGTTCTGGTGTGCAGTGCCCTATAATGTTGTTTTTGAGGGTAGAAGTTGAAACAATTTATGTCCAGGATGTGAGGGATCTGTAGCCCTCTTTTTGACCCGTGCAGCATACAGGTCCTTAATGGAAGGCAGGTTGGTAGCAGTTGTTTTTTCTGCAGTTCTAATTATCCATTGAAATCTGTGTCTGTCTCTGTCTTGTTGGGTTGCAGAACCGAACCAGACATTGATAGAGGTGCAGATGACAGGCTCAGTAATTCCTCTGTAGAACTGTATCAGCAGAACTGTATCCTTGGGCAGTTTGAGCTTTCTGAGTTGACGCAAAAAAACCATTCTTTGTTGTGCTTTTTTGATGACGTTCGTGGTGTTACGTGCCCATTAAGTCTTTGAGGTATGATAGAACCTAGAAACTTGAAGGTCTCTATTGTTGATATTGTGTTGTCTAGTATTGTAAGAGGTGGTAGTATAGGAGGGTTTCTCCTATATCCTAGAAAAATGGATGCTGACAGAAGTCTGAATAGAAAAGAGGAAGCAATTCCTGTTTAATTTAAGCTAATGGGAAATGTTAGATCTGATATGTAATGGATCCAGTAGATTTGTGGAATATGTGTCTTATTTTACATTGTATTATAGAATATATCATATTCCATGTTCTGTGAACAATTATTTCCACCAGGAGTTTATTGTTTGCTTCTGTGCTTTCTTTCAAAACTTCTGCTGATCTGGCCCTTATTTGTCTTTTTGGTAGCTCTTTTTGCTCAGGGCAACATTTTCAATGAATTACACTAACATTGCATGTATTAATTTTAGATGCTACAGGGTCATGTAATAATAGAGTATTAACTGAGTCATATCATTTCTAAGACTGTGTGATTAGTAGTAGTCCACTTGTGCTTTATTAGGCTGATACTAGAGTTCTTAAGTTTCAGCTGTGTGCATATTAATATGAAACAAATATTGACAAATAAAAATCTGATCAAAGTATTAAAAATAGGTAATCAAAAATATCATTTTAGATATACTATAAGCTGTATTCTGCATGAATTAGTTGCTGCAAAAATTATTTTAATTAGATATGATTCTTACATTCTACTTTGTTGTGTTTTGAGTTAAGAAAAGGACAGGTAATTGCACAACCCAAATGAATACATTGCCCCTGATTGCTATTCTTTCCCCTAATATGAAGTAGTGTCAGCACATTCCTATACATCTGACATCGTAACCATACAGGTCAAACTCGAAAAATTAGAATATTGTGCAAAAGTCCATTTATTTCAGTAATGCAATTTAAAAGGTGAAACTAATATATGAGATAGACTCATTACACGCAAAGCAAGATAGCTCAAGCCGTGATGTGTCATAATTGAGATGATGATGGCTTACAGCTCATGGAAACCCCAAATCCATAATCTCAGAAAATTAGAATATTGTGAAAAGATTCAATATTTTAGGCTCAAAGTGTTCCACTCTAATCAGCTAATTAAGCCATAACACCTGCAAAGGATTCCTGAGCCTTTTGGTCTCTCAGTCTGGTTCAGTAGGAATCACAATCATGGGAAAGACTGCTGACCTGACAGTTGTGCAGAAAACCATCATTGACACCCTCCATAAGGAGGGAAAGCCTCAAAAGGTAATTGCAAAAGAAGTTGGATGTTCCCAAAGTGCTGTATCAAAGCACATTAATAGAAAGTTATGTGGAAGGGAAAAGTGTGGAAGACAAAGGTGCACAAGCAGCAGGGATGACCACAACCTGGAGAGGATTGTCAGGAAAAGGCCATTCAAAAGTGTTGGGGACTTTTACAAGGAGTGGACTGAGGCTGGAGTCAGTGCATCAAGAGCCACCACACACAGACGGATCCTGGACATGGGCTTCAAATGTCGTATTCCTCTTGTCAAGCCGCTCCTGAACAACAAACAACGTCCAAAGTATCTTACCCGGGCTAAAGAAAAACAGAACTGGTCTGTTGCTCAGTGGTCCAAAGTCCTCTTTTCTGATGAGAGCAACTTTTGGATCTCATTTGGAAACCAAGGACCCAGAGTCTGGAGGAAGAATGGAGAGGCACACACTGCAAGATGCTTGAAGTCCAGTGTGAAGTTTCCACAGTCTCTGTTGATTTGGGGAACCATGTCATCTGCTGGTGTTGGTCCACTGTGCTTCGTTAAGTCCAGGGTCAATGCAGCCATCTACCAGGAGATTTTGGAGCACTTCATACTTCCTTCCGCAGACAAGCTGACTTCATTTTCCAGCAGGACTTGGCACCTGCCCACACTGCCAAAAGCACCAAAACCTGGTTCAATGACCGTGGGATTACTGTGCTTGATTGGCCAGCAAACTCACCTGACCTGAACCCCATAGAGAATCTATGGGGCATTGCCAAGAGAAAGATGAGAGACATGAGACCAAACAATGCAGAAGAACTGAAGGCCGCTATTGAAGCATCCTGGTCTTCCATAACACCTCAGCAGTGCCACAGGCTGTTAGATTCCATGCCAAGCCACATTGAGGCAGTAATTGCTGCAAAAGGGGCGCAAACCAAATACTGAGTACATATGCATGCTTATACTTTTCATAGGTCCGATGTTGTTCTATGTACAAGCCTTGTTTTATTGATTGCATGTTATATTCTGTTTTCCTGAGATTGTGGATTTGGGGTTTTCATGAGCTGTAATTCATAATTACAATTATGAATTACAATTACATCACAATTATGACAAATCACGGCTTAGACTATTTTGTTTTGCATGTAATGAGTCTATCTCATATATTAGTTTCACCTTTTAAGTTGCATTACTGAAATAAATGAACTTTTGCACGATATTCTAATTTTTTGAGTTTCACCTGTATAATCTGTACTATATTTTCAGCTTGGGCTGGATTTCAAACTGGTCTAGTCTGTTGAATCCATTGAAACCCATTTTTGATATAGTTGAATTATAAGTAAGCTAATACTAAAATTTTATATTTATCCTGTTATTGGTCCCTAATCTACACTTTCTAGGAGTGGTTTATTCCCATAAAGAAACCTTCCAAAATGCTTGCTATTGTTACTTAATCAATTTCTTTTTAAATAAAAGAAAGAAAACAATAGCCTCAAATTATTTGCTTCATCTCAAGCTTCTTTCTAAATAAAAGCTTTGAAAGAAAATAACAATAAATTATTCTGTAGAGTCTTTTGGCTAGGGCTTTGTACCCAGGAACTGTAAAGAGTTGGCGAAATAACATCAGTGATATGTAAGAAGCTGTAATACTTCAAGAAAATTACTACACTTACTAGAAATATATTGTTAATGCTATTACTAGAAAAAAAGAAAATCATTTTAATATTTAATGCCTATTCTGCAGTATAACTATTGTGCAAATCCCATATGTTTGTTTTGCCTGTTGGAAACCAGACTGTGCTATAAGACTGACATTTTGAGATATGCTGTGACAAAGTAGAATCGCCAAGGAGTCTGTTCTGGAAAGGTTGTTGATATATATGTAAATAAGTTCTAATAACAGTCTTGTAATGATGAATATACATTGCCAGCATTCTATTTAAAGATTTTCATTACTGATCACAGGATGATCTTAATTATAGAAAATCATTAAGTGAGGATCTGTCACTTGCACATTTTTTTGATATGGTTCTGAATAATATTTGCTTCCTGTCAGTTTATTTGAACTTTTTCCTTGAGTGTTTTAAATATGTAGAACTTAAATTGATTCAATATAAAATTTAGATAGTCTGGTCATTTTTTGGTTTTCTTTTTTCCATATTATTATTGTTGCTGCTATCAAACATATCTTTGGTGATTTACAGATTATTTTGGACAATCCTTTTTAAAAGATTTTGGTGGCAAATCTTTACTTATTCAGAGATAATTTCCTATCCTAAACTTTTACTACACTATAAAACAGTGAAACAGATCAACGAGTGGCAGACTCATATACCAACTCTTCTATATATTTTATCTTCTCACACCATTTCAAAGTCTAATAAACATCACCCACCAATTCCAGGTACATATATTTGCTCACTATCAATGGCATATGAGATCTGTTATCAATTCCCCACAATATTCTATGCTGAACCAAAATAGCCAATCTGTGTGCAACAAGATCCATGGACTCAACTGACATAAAAATGGCAATTCCTAAACATTCTTGGAAAACATACTAATTTCATGGGACATTCTTTCTTTGACCACAAAGTGGCGATATGTGAGAAAAGTCCCTGAGACAACAGAGGTGAAATTTGTTAGAAGAATTTCAATAGCCTTTCAGGGCATTATTTCTTATCAAACAAAGTATGTTAACTATTCACTGCAAGAATGTCTGATCATGTCTAACTGCTGTTTTATGCAGTTCTGCCCTGCACTTTCTCTTTATGATTTCCTCCTCTCTCACTTTCTCCTATCAAATTGCATTTTTCTCAGGACAATAAGCTCATTTATTTATTGGTGCATCTATTACAATAAACTGACACAGCTACTCCCTTAAAAATAAGAATGTTTTAAAAAATGTATGGATACTATGTCCAGCCTCCAAAATATTTATAGTTCTCTGCTTTCAGCCTTTTTCATAACTATTCTGCCCACATTCCCCCTACTCCCATAAGTTTATGCATGTAACTTGTTCTTTTCTGAGGTCTATACCCCCGTATATCTGATGAAGAGGATTGGCGTAATCTGCAAAAACTTCCTGTTCTTTACTGTTTGTCTTGTTTTGCTGCAAAAGGTTAACATGGTTTTTTTTTTGAAAACTACTTCCATTTACATTCATTCACAAATGTGCTTTTCCATCTTTTCTTTAACACAGTTAGCAAAACTTGAGAAACAACAACAGAGGAAAGAGAAAACCAGAATGAAGGTTCCTTCTGAATCAAGCAGAGAACGAAATCTTCCTAGAAGTAAAAATGATCCAAGTGCAAGCAGTGGGGCTGAAGGAGATGTTTCTTCTGAAAGGGAACCGTAACTTCTCAAAGCACCTTCAGGTATGAACTTTCTGCCCCTGCTCTTGTTGAAAAGGTCCATTTCCTGCCATTTTAAGTCTTGTGTAAATTATTATTTTCTTTTCAATCCTTTTTCAATATTTAAATCTGCTTCCACTTCATTTCATATAGCTCAGTTTTAGTGTGTGTGTGTGTGTGTGTGTGTGTGTGTGTGTGTGTAGTTACCTCTCTACCTTTTCATTTTTAGTGGTGTTTTCATTCCCCCTCTCCTGCTTGGGGCAATTATTGATAAATAATTAGAAATTTCCTTTATTCCAAAAACATTCTGGACTATGGTCATAGCTATTTATGTATTCCAACCTCTTAATCACTGAGAGACATTTAAGGAACAAAACATTTTAAAATGTCTTACATATTCAGGCTATGTTTCTCCACTTGTTTGTAAACTTTTAGTGACATTTTTTTGTGATTTGGTGTAGGGCAATTTTTCCTGCAATATATTAATTAAAATATGCCAAATAGGGCCTAGGTCCAGATCTAAAAGGTATCTGTTAAAAGAGCTTTATTTCTTGTATAAGTTAGCACAGGGAAAAATAATAATGGAATGTATAATAGAATGGAATTTACCTGGAGCAGAGGGAGGGAGGGAGGGAGCTAGAAAAAGTATGTTACTTTTAATTGAATGTATGCATAATTAGCGAAGCCATGTACCTTGAAATTTTATTGTTATCTGAAAAGCAATTGCATGTTCTAGGATGGGATCGAATATAGTGTATCATAAAAATGAGGAAGGAAGGAAGACTAGTCAAAGGTGATATGTTAATCAGTAGAGGAAGAATCTTATAAAATATAAAATTATACTGGAAAAAGTGGTCATTAGTTTCTCTTTTTCTCCCCTTCTCTCTTTGAAGTTATACATGGCTGAACTTGAGAAAAAAATAATAGAAACCACAATTATGAAGTAGTTTTTTTTCTATCTTGAAATAATATTCCTTCTTTAATAACTGCTATGTACTATTCAGTTGATCAGGGAAACTTATAAGTGCTATAAACAAACAAAATAAAAACAACCAAGTAAAATCTATAATTAAAACATTACTTGATCATTTGTAGAATATTTATTTATATTTGCCTTAACATACTGATGACATTAAGGTAAAACTTCCAGGTAGCTTCGAATAAAAAACAGTAAAAACAGTTTAAAGGATTAAAAGGAATGAAAGAAAGTAAAATAATTAAAATGAATAGCTAGAAGCCTGTATGTGCATTAAAAAATTTTTTTTAAGGTGATAATGTTAACTTCTGCTGGGAACGCCTTTCAGAGTTTGGGCCGCAATATAGAAGACTCAGTCCTGGGTTGCCCTTAGATGAGCTCATTGTAACTATAGGGGAACCTCTTTGGATGATATCAATAAGCAGAGGATCCTTCTTAGTGATTTTTATTTTGCTCAGATGTGAAGTATTAGCCAGTGCAATGGTTAAGTACAGGTGTAGGATTTTTTTTATTTTGCTTTCTTCTTGAGCCCAACCTGTTTGTCAAATTTTGTGCCAGCTGAAATTTCCATTTGCAAATGTTAGGATTAAAAAACATAAAACACTCTTAAAACGTTATAGCTTGGAGTTTACCAATAGATGAAATAATAGTTTGAAGTTACTTTTTTTTTCCAGAAAGCAACCATAGGTATCCGCCATAGCTGATAAAAAATGCTCATGATTGTTGGTCCAGTCTGAAAAAACCAGAAAAAAGATTTGAGGCCTGCAGCTATATACTGCTTCTGGAGAATAACTTCATTCAGAATAGATTTGTTGCACAGGAAGGTTAAAAAATATATTGCAGTTTGAGCACTTCATTTTCTGCTTTTTTGTTTTTAAAACTAGAAGATCTGGACAAGTATCAATGGAGAGACTATAATGGAGAGTACTTACTCCCAGTAAAAAGAATTTGTTTAGGACATTAACACTTTAAAGCAAAGGTCTTCAAACTTGACAGCTTTAAGACCTGTGGACTTCAACTCCCAGAATTCCTGAGCTAACATGACTGGAGGAGGAATTCTGGGAGTTGAAGTCCACAAGTCTTAAAGCTGTCAAGTTTGAAGACCTCTGCTTTAAAGAGACTGCTTCTTCCATTCATTGACAGATAAGAAAAAAGCACAAAGGATGTTCTGAAAAATCTTTGTTTCACCCCACTATCATGTTTTAGCGGTTAGAATGTAGTACTGCAGGCTAATTCACTGCTCACCATAGGAGTTCAATTCTGACCTGCTCAGACTGAGTCTTCCATCCTTCTGAGGTCAGTAAAATGAGGAGCCAGATTGTTGGGGACAATAGGCTGACTCTGTAAACCACTTAGAGAGGGCTGAAAAGCACTGTGAAACGGTGTATAAATAAGTGCTATTGCTATTATATGGAAATTCTTCAGATGCTGTGAAAATTCCTTTACTTTTCAAAAAGTTCAGAATGAGCATTTTTGAGAGAGACAGAGAGAAAGAGAAAGAGGGAGTGGGAGATAGATAAATAGAACTCAAAATTGGGTGACGTTCACATTTGCTACCACAATTTTAATTTAGTTGTGGCTAGTTGCTGTGCTGTTGTACCAAAAGTCCAGTTTGCCAGATTGCTTTTAAATCCTTACTGTTAAAAGGGTTGGATGGCTCTTATAAAAAGGAAAAGAATAAAAGTTTGTGAATGACAGTTGATAACATTACTGTAGGTGGTCACTTTTATTACTTTGTCATACTAAACAATTGTTTTGCTGTAGGTCCTTTATATTTCCTTGTGTGCTGAGACAAATAGCAACTTGATTTAGATGAATGCTAATGTTTGCATAAAACATGGCACATAGCCCAAGGCAGTAATTAAAAGAGACAGGCTATAATTTGGAAAGAGTGTTGGCTCAACTCTCAGTTTGTGATGAAATCACTAGATTTCTCCACCTCTCTTTGCAACATGTAAGTAGCAGTGTTGCTGTTTTACTGTAGAGGAGTGAAAGAGTAACTGAGGATATATCGTTCATACAGTGGTTCAAAATAGAACCTCAACCATCTCTGGGCTCCCTTGTCTTGAGCATGGCTTCCCTTTTGGCTTTTAGTTAAACATGAACCATTGTTTGCCAAGATGTCCAACTTGATAAGTTGTGATTAGTACCTGCCCTCAAACCAGAATTAACTTTCTGATTCAAGGGCAAGTGTTACCCATAATTTTCCTATTCAGACCTCACAGCGCATTATGATGTAACATTAAAGGGATTTGCCTATATGTTGCTGTGGGTGCATAAAATTGCCATAGCTATATAACATCTGAAATACCTAACATATAAAATATTGTACAACCGCTAATCTACTTTTTTTATTTCCCAAGAAGAACAAGTCAGTGCTTTAAAGGCTGATGGATGTGATTAAAAAAAACAGTCTAGCATCATCAGATCAATACAGGTGACGCTGCTTGCCTGGCAAAGCTGCCATCTAATTGTGTCACTGGATTGCTGGAACAATTTATTTTTACCTTGCAAAGGAATTAATTAATGTGTGGGCTGAGTAATTATTTGTCCGCATGATGGAGCAATTCAACAACCACTTCAATGGTGAATTTTCTGTAAGTCCTGAAACTATTTTTGGTGTGTCTAGGGTAACTCTGCTTTTTCAAAATGACTCACTGAACATTTTGCTCAATTTTCCTCATTGAGTTCAATGACAGATTCATAAAATTCTGAAAGAAAGCCATTCAATCAAACAAACGACTTCCTATGTTTTCATTTTGAAAATTGTTTTTGCTCTCTGACTTCTCACGATGAAGATATTTAAAGCAAACATCCTGGGCAGTGGTAACATGATGTCTCTTCATTTTCAATCATTTAAATCATGAAACAAATGAGGGGAAAAGGGAAATAATGTTCAAATTCAGTGACATAGTAAAGAAAAAAGGATACTGGACATGTTGAAGGAGAAGTATTCAAATATCAGAATACAGACTCCTCTGATAGAAGAGGATTGATAAGAATCATCAAAACTGTATCACCTCTAGTGACTACATAGATAGGCCTCCATAATGATTGGTTCCCAGTCTGGTCTTCATATCTTTGAATAGCACACACATGACACTGTAATCAAATTTGGTCCTGATCATTTTTTTCTTCTTCTGTTTCCTTATACCTTTCTCTGCATTATAAACTTCTCAAGAGAGTTGCATCCAAAATACAAAAAATTGAGCATTATTTGGATGTTGAGTAAGAACTCTGGACTGGTTTGTTTCCTTGGCTATCTATGGTATTCTCAAGACTCTTTTCCATAAGCATCAGCATTTTTTCTATCATTCTTCTTGATCCAAATTTTGCTTCTATAGATCTCCAGAGAGAACTGGTTCGTTGTCAGCTGCTCTTCGGAGCTACCGGTTCTATAGAACCAGGGCGAACTGGTAGAATCCCACCCCTGGTAGCATTCCCCCAGACTTAGTTGGTACACAATTTGAGAGTCCTGCTAGACTCAGAGTTCCTGTTTGATGAGCAGGTAGCAGCCATAGCTCAGGGGATGGAGTTGGGTGGGAAGCTTTGCACAGATGAATCTTGGGTACCAATTGCACCCTTTCTTGCTTACATCATTCTTGCCTTAGTCATTTCCCATTTGGATTATTGCAATGCACTAATGTCCTGGAAGACATTGTCCTTGGAGACTGACCTTGAAGACACTCAAAAACTACACCTAGTTCCAGATTACAGAGTAATGCTCAAAGGTTTACCAATGTTATACCTTTATTGCGCAAGCTGCACTGGCTCCTAGTCTTCATCCAAATGCAATTCAAGGTGCTAGTTATCACCTGTAAAGCCTTACATGGTCCAGGATCGGGATATTTGCAGGGCTGCCTTTCCATACAAATATCTGCTCATCCCTTTAGATCACATAAGATAGGCATCCTCCAGATTCCTGCTGTGAAGTCCTGCCACCTAGTGGAACACGGAAGTGTGCCTTTTTATGGCTGTTCCTACTTAGTGAAACAACTCCCCTCCCTCTAGCAATTCAGCAGGCCTCTAACCCTTTTAAGCTTTTTTCGGAAAGCCAATAAGACCTGGCTCTTTACTGAAGAAATGGGATAGGATTGAATAGATAGAAAATATGGAATGAGAGGAGTTTGCTATGGGCCATCCCAAGAGAATAATTAAGGCACAGAGGTTTTGTTTTACTGTTTTATGACTATTAATTATAAACTTGTGAGCCTGAGATGGGCAGACATATAAATCTTAAATAAACTGCTTTTTTTATAAAGGCATTTTTTGTTCAGTGCCTGGAAATCCACAGAAGTCAGAGCTCCTGTCTGGTTGTTGAGCCTTGCAAGAAGCAGCTTCCTTCAGGAAATTAGCCTCTTCGTGCAAGTCCAGTCATTGTTGTGCCCTCTCGTGACAGAAGTCAAAATATTTGATATTTTAGCTTCTATTCTGAGCAAATGGGGTAAATGGGAACTTTTCTATCTGCTGATTGGGTATCGTGGGAGTTTAAAATGCTACACTGACAACAAGTTTAACAGGAATCAGCAGAGTGAGACAGTTACTAGTAGGTTTAATATAGTTCTGGGCTACCCTGAAGAAAGATCATATCAAATGTACACAAAGTCATTATTCCTCTCTTCTTGGCATTAGTGAGACCACACCTGAAATACTGTGTATGATTTAGAACTCATCATTTTCAGTTGAATATTAACAGGCTTGAGAGGATTCAGAGGATGACAACAAAGATGGTACAGGGAGCTGAGGACGTGCCCTATTGAGAATAGTAAAGAACTTGGGATATTCAGGGAGCCATATATAGATAGGTACATGTAGAAACTACAGGGAAGAGTGCATTAACTATTTTTCCATTGCCATATAAAGTAGGACTGGAAATAATGAGTATAAGTTGCAACTACCTAGATTTCATTTCAGTATAAGGAAAAATAACTGAGAGTAAGATCTGTACAATAATGGAATAATCTATAAAGATTGTGTAGGCTCCATCTCTGGAGATTTTAAAGAAGATTTTAGATAGTGCTTTCTCTTTCTCATGGATGGGGTAAAATGGTTTCCCATACATTGCAGGTTGGAGCACATAACCTCATAGGCTCTACAATTGTATGATCTCTGACAAGAAGGCACGTGGTTCGAAAGATAGTCTTAGTGTAGGAATCTTAGGAAGATTAGTCTTTAACAACAGTAATACTAGCATCTTAGGAAGATTAATACACATGTGTAATTTTAGGAAGATTAGACTTCCTGCTAAGTTTTGCCAAACTTATTGCTTTCAAATCCATGCTGAATGTTCTTGATTTTTTTTAGTGATATTATTCCTATAACCTGGATTACTTTTACAATTCTAATCATTTACTGATTGTAAAATTCAGTGGCCGCTATTCAGGCATCAAGGTTGAGCTGTCTTCTTTGTCTTCTTTTGTTGTCTCTCTCAAGTCCATAAAGCTTTTAACAATTCCCCCCCCCCTCCATTTTTATCCTCCCTGTTCTCTTTCCATTCTTCTTTCCATTCTTGGCAAAATGAATGTTTTGATCATGTGTGAATGTAAGTACTATATTTTTTTGTCTTGTCTTTGTGTTTTCAGAAAATATGATGTCCCTTTGCAAATTATCTGAATTGGTGGCTTTTTGCATCAGGCATACATTCCTTGTATTATTTTGACTTAAACACTGCCCAATTTAAATCAACTGGGCAGCTTATAACATAAAAACAGAACATAAAAAATTTAGATTAAAAACAGCAAAAAATATGTGGCAGATTTGGTCAAGACAATATCATAAGAACAAGGATATTGTTCTTAACATTCCATTGTCTTGTGCCATCCTTTTAAAGACTACATCCAAGAGGGCAGGGTGAGTTTTTTTTTTCTGTTATGGAGCATCTTCTTCTATTGTATTTCATGAGGGATATTGGTAGTGAGTAAAATTATGAACTATACTTAGTCCTCATTTAACAACCACTCATTCAACAACTGTTTGAGTTGCTATGGTGGTGATGAGTGGTAGTTAACTACCAGTCCTCAGAGTTCTGGCTGCCCCAGCACCTGGAGTCATATGATTGCAATCTGGACATTTGGCACCCAGGTCACACTTAAATAGTTGCAGCATCCTGCAATCACATAACCATTTGTGATCCTCCCTGCTGGCTTTCAACAAGTAGAATCAGTGGGGATGTTGGCAGGGAGACTCACAAGTTATTCTGGTAAGTCACTCACACTGTCTGTCTCTCACTTGGCATCAGTCACCCTCTGGCACAGCCTCGGTCAACTTGTGTTCGCAGGCCTCCCACACAGCCCTGTCTGCCTTGGGCCTACTGTGCTTGACCCATATGTGGCATTGTGCCTTATCTGTCTGCTGGCCTGCTTCCAATCTACCTGGGACTTGCTTACTAGGGAGTGCCAGTATTGCTGTCATTAAATGATGTCACGTGACATCACACTTTATGAATGCATCAGTAAGTGATAGAAATTCCTGTTCCAATTACTGTTGTTAACTGAGGACTACCTGTGGGCTAATACCATATTAGAAAGATATACAGTACTATACGTAAGAGTTTTACTTGTGTACAGTTAATTTCATGGATAAAATAATAAATGATGCATTGTCAGACGTGAACAACTAGACCTTATATAGAGTTCAAGCTAGTTACTTTATTGTTCTATGCCTAATCCAACTTTTGCCTGGGAACAACTAGATAAGGCTCAAAGACATTCATTGCCCTCTTGTGTTTACATAACAAGTTCCAGAATAATTCCCTGCTTGTGCCCTCTTCCAACTGGGCGTGTTGCTCTTCAACAGACATAGTGAAAAGAAGTTGGGACCAAGTTAAAGCTTTGATTCCCAAAACATGGGCACTTGTCCCGGGCTAGAATTTACTTTGAAAAATAAAATTCTCCGTGTTGAAAGGATCCACAATTTCATGCCATTAAGCATAAGAAAATTGTACATTTTTTTCTTTCTCTTTCACCACTAAAATTGGCAGTAGCATCATCCATCTAATTTAGATTCTGTTTACCTATATTGTAGCATCATATTTGGCAATTACATCTTTGAGTAAATGGGAGTGTAGCCACAGAGATTTCTTGGGCAGCATTAACTACACAAATCCAGTGAATCACTTTCATGTTGTTCAGGACACTAAGAAATGTACTTGTAGCTATTGAGTGGAAAGATTTTCCAGAAAAACTGCCTCAGCTATTTATACTGAGAAATGCCAGGCAAATTGCTCATGATAACATATAGGGAGATTATTTTGAAAGTTTGAACAGATGTTTAAAATGCTATATGAAATCATTTGGTCTCTTTTTTGTATGATTAAAGATTAAGAGTTAAGGCCAGTGGCAATTAAAATGTATCTGGAGAATGGAAGGGTTTTTTTTCTGTATCACATGATATATTTTCTTTCTTCCCTTTCTTTTTAACAGGAAAGCTCATAAAACACTACTGGTGACCTTCTGTGCTCGTTAGCTGAGGATGCTAAATTTTTAGATGAAAAATTATTTGATGCAAAAGGAGAATTTGACAGAAGTGAGGATCTCCATCATGCTGTATTACAAACTACCAAAGGAATATTATCAATGTCCACCGTTAATAGGTTTTAAAGCAAGTTTCTATTTGGGTCATTTCTTATTTAGGATATTTTCATTACAGAAATTATATAACTATCCCTTCCATATAGTTAGGTTTTATATAACTGAAATGCCCACATTATTTTACCAATGCATATAGTTCTTGGCATAAATGCTCTCATCATTACAACAGTTCCTCCCTCTGCTCTTCCAGTGGGCATGATCAATCTATCAACAGCTGAAGCGGATGGCTGGAGGAGCAGAATAGAAATGCCCCTTGCATTTTGGAAGCTCAGTACAACTGCAGGTGTTCTCTGTCTCCCCTACCCCACCCCACCCCACCCCAAACAATCTGAATCCTCAAAGGAATCCCCAGGTTGTTTGTGTTTTCCAGGTTGATGAAGAGGTCCATTATTTGTGTTTTGAGCTGTGTGATGCTTAGAATGTCTCTTAAAATTCAACTCAATACTTGAAATTAAATGTCCCTCCCTCAGTAAAGGAGGGTTACATCCTGATAGAATCATTTTCCAGCTGAAATGTGTGGATGTCTTTCATACTGTAAACATTGATAGTGTAGTGGGACAACTCTATCAGAGTTACTGTTTTAGAAATCAGTCCTGTGCGTGGATATCTATAGAGCTCTTTCTGACATTTTTCTGTACTTCCTTTCCATACTGCCAGACATTATGAGAAGGCCCATACCGTGTGGGACAGAGTCTCCTGGATCTTTTACCTTCCAGACACTGAAGTGAGGGATAGTCATAGCAGTAGCTCCTTCTCTGTGTACAAGACTGTTTATGCTTTCTTGGCTCTACCTGAAGGAGCTGTGCTGCAGTAGCCCTCGTCTCACCAGTGATAACCTGTAGGCCTCCGTTACGGATGAGGCAAGTTTGTTATGCAAGTTGTAGCAGCATAAATATAATAGATCTTATGATCCATTTCATTAAAATAAATTTTCTCTTACTTTTTTTCTTTTAAGAGCATTCTTCTACTTTTGGTCCATCTAATGTACAGGTATCAAACTCTCATGTTTGCCGTCACGTCACTTTTGCAACATTTCCCCCCTTCGTGGAGTTGGGGTGGGCTTGGCCTGTGCGTGACACATCTGGCCTGTGGGCCACCAGTTTGACACCCCCGATCTAATGTATCTTTTCAGAATAAAGTATAAAATGCATTGTTTGTGTGTTGACTGTGTTTGGCTGTACAATCTGTGGAAAAAACTGAATTCAAGTTAGATTAATTTACCAATTATTTAAACTGTGAACTGTGTGTGTTTATATGTGTCAGTTAAATTTTTTCAAAGCAAAGGACTTTATTAATAAAGTACAGCATCTGAACAACTTTTCTATTTGCTAAGCCTGTTTTTTTTTTTTTTTTTAGGAAATTCAATGTGTTTTAGTGTTAGATATCAATATTGTCTATTAGGAAAGTTTAATGAAATGCTTCTTTTCTTTTAATATTTAAAAGAAAATATTTCTGAGGCAGTTCTTACTTTCTTTAGGTATCTCTCGTGTTCACTGGGTGCTGATGACCAGGGTGGCATTCACACAGCATGGGAATATGCGATTCAAACACCAGGCCCATCCAGCCCTGCATTTTTTACTCAGTCATATGGGAAAGAAAGCTCCAGTAGGAGTAGAGTTGGAGCAAAGGAGACCTTCAATTGCCATTTTTCAGAAAGATGCTGTTTCTCTTGGGAAAGGGCTTTTTGATTACAACATAAACACAGTGGCCTTGAGAAACAGTGATGCTCTTATAAAGCTAATAAAGGCAATCTGATCTTACCCTTGCCCCAAAGTGAAATGGTAGAGGCAACAGCATCTTTGCAAACTACCCTGATATATTGAAAAGTTGGAAATATCATAGTTTTACAAATCAGGGCTAGCAAATTTATTTTCTTACTACAGTCTTTGTCAAATACAGAATTTGCTATCATTCCAAATGGTGTATCTTTCGATTTTATAGTAGCCTGTGATCCATGATTATCTGTATCCTAGGAAATAACAGCTGTTTAAGATACCTGTTGTAATCTGATAGTATCACTGTTTAATATCATTGATCATATGATGGCAGGGTATTGTTGGATTTATTGTATATAAATCATACATGTTGCAATATAAGTATTCCTTGAGTTTTCATACTAGATTAGTTACACCAGTGGTTCCCAACCTTTTTGGTACCAGGGCCCAGTTTTGTGGAAGACAATTTTACTTGCTTGCCAACTGTTCACCTCCAGCTGTGCTGCCCAGTACCTAACAGACCATGGACAGGTACCGGTCTGTAGCTCAGGAGTTGGGGATCCCTGAGCTATACATTTGAATAAAGAACAGTATGAAAAAATGAATTCTATTTTAATTTGAAGTAGTATAGATGTTTTTGTCAATGATCCAGAATTAGTAAAATTGCTGAAGGTTTGGCAGCTAACTACCGTGTTTCTCACAAAATAAGGCCGGGCCTTTTTTTTTTTTTGACCCCTGAAAAAACAGCTAGGCCGTCTTTTCGGGGGTGACTTAATTTCCTCCTCCACCTAGAGCGGCCCATACGCACATACCTCGCCGCGAGACCACTTCTATCGGCCGCTGAAAGCTCCCCAAAGGCAGAGTCCCCAGCTGCTTTGGGGCAAGGCGTGGCTGCCCATGTCCCCTCGCCTTTAGGCAGTCTCTTTTGGGCGATGGAAGCTCCCCAAATGCAGTCACCAGCCACTTTGATCGGCCGGTAGAAGCGGCCTCGGGGCGAGCGCACACACACACACTCCCCTCGCCGCGAGGCCGCTTCTTTTGGCAGACTAAAGCTCCCTTGAAGGCAGAGTCCCCAACTGCTTCGGGGTGAGGTGTGGCTGCCCATGTCCCCTCACCTTTAGGCAGTCTCTTTCGGGCGATGGAAGCTCCCCAAATGCAGTCACCAGCCACTTCGATTGGCCGGTAGAAGCGGCCTTGGGGCGAGCGTACACACACACACACACACACACACACACACACACACACACTCCCCTTGCCATGAGGCCGCTTCTATCGGCAGACAAAAGCTCCCTTGAAGGCAGAATCCCCAGCCGCTTCAAGGCGAGGCGTGGCTGCCCATGTCCCCTCACCTTTAGGCAGTCTCGGGCGATGGAAGCTCCCCAAGTGCAGTCACCAGCCACTTCAATTGGCCGGTAGAAGCGGCCTCGTGGCGAGGGGAGTGTGTGTGTGCACTCGCCCTGAGGCTGCTTCTACCAGCCGATCGAAGTGGCTGGTGACTGCACTTGGGGAGCTTCCATCGTCCAAAAGAGACTGCCCTAAAGGCGAGGGGACATGGCTAGCCACGCCACGCCCTGAAGCGGCTGGGGACTCTGCCTTCAGGGGAGCTTTCTTCTGCAGATAGAAGTGGCCTCGCGGCGAGGGGAGTGTGTGTGCACTCGCCCCGAGGCCACGTCTACCAACCGATTGAAGTGGCTGGTGACTGCATTTGAGGAGCTTCCATCGTCCGAAAGAGACTGCCCTAAAGGCAAGGGGACACGGGTAGCCACGCCATGTCCTGAAGCAGCTAGGGACTCTGCCTTCGGGGAGCTTCTGTCGGCTATTGGGGTATTCTAGCCTAGGCTACCTGCAGGGCACTCCTAAAGGCAAGTTTTCTCCCCATCCCCCCACCCTTCCCCCTCCCATTTCTCTTTACCTCGTGTAGTTCTAACGAATGATGTGAGAAATGGCGAGAAAAAGCATGGTTTAAATAGGCCTAAATTTGGGGGGCGTGGCTTAATTTCACTCATGCCTAGAAATCATGCTGGGCCTTCCTATTGGTGGAGGCCGTATTGTTGGAGAAACACGATATTGTCTGTTAAATTAAGTTTGGAATGGCCCAGAGTTCCCAAAAGTAGCCCCTTACCATTAAAGTTATGTAGTTGCTATTTTCAAATCTTTTGCTCTCATGTATTCATTTAATTATCTGAAAGAAGTACAGGCTAGGAGAATTTAAAAAAATCCTGATATTGTGAATTCAGATGTAACCCAAACTGAGCTGAATCTTTTGCAAATAAGATGCATTTAACAACTTGTATTTCAAGATAAGGAACATTTGAACATATGCCTTGGTTGATAAATTTCAATTAAAATATTATTTAAATATTTATTCTATGCAGATCTTTCCATGCTGGGAAATTTAAGACTTATGAAAGAGACACAGTGGTGAAAACAGAGATAACCAAATCTATCCACTCCCAGGTGTGGTCTTTTTACTGCTGCTGCAGCACATTACTTCTTAAGTTGGTCATTTGTTTTGAAAGTTTACTTGTTCTCTCGCATATACTTCTGGATGAAATAATCTATTGGTTTCAAGGTCAGGTGTCAGTACACTAATGGTACCCACCTGCATATCTTGACCTGGGCATTCCAAGTGATGTTGATAAATCATATCTCAGAGGCTACTGGCATTTGATGGGGGAAGAAACTCTGAGAATCAGGTTAATTCTAAGCAAGAGTGAGGGGCTTTAGATACTGGGAGAACCATTGTCACCATATTTCTTTTCCTCATTTGAGATTATGCAATCTGGGGGTCGTCCTAGGCTTTAAGGTGGCCCTCAAAGAGCAAGAGGAAGATGTAGCCAGGAGGGTGTTTGCACAAATTCATGTTGTGCACAAGTTGAACTGTTTCTGAACTGGACCTCCACACAGTCACTTCCTTTGTGCAACTGATTCAAAATGCAACATTATGCACATTAATGGACAGAGCTTAGTATGCCCATATAACAAACCCACAAGCTGCACTGGGTGCAATTCAAAGTGCTAATTACCACCTATAAAGCCTTGCATGCTAATTATTTGAGGGATCATCTGCCCCCCTGGTTTCTGCCCATCCCGTGTCCTAGAATTGCCATATTCTGGGTCCTCTACATGTCATCCAAGAACATCCAAGATTCTGGGATCATATCCCCTAAAATCCAAAGCATCTCCACCCTGCTCTACTTTCGATGACCCTTTAGGATCTGGCTCTTTTCTCAGGCTTTTTGACTCTTTGAAAATGTTATTGTTAGAAAAATGTGAGCGTTCCCCTCTGAGTTTAACGTTTCTTTCGTTGATTGGCTTTTGTCTTTCTCATTTTTACTTCTATTTGCCTCCCAGAGTCATCTGGAGTTGGATAGTCTTACAAATAAATTAAGCAATATCAATATGAAATCAATTCAAACCTTAATCATATTTCTAAATTTAGACCATACCAAAACACATTCTTCCATTTTATCCTTCTTAAAATATGAAGATATTTTTTAAAAAAATCAATAAGGAGCATATAACTTGATTCCATTCCTTAATGTTAAAGAACTATTCATTTTTTTTGTATCAATAAACATTAGTTTTGCCAAACCCCAGGCTTCATATAATTGAAATTCTTCAAGAAAAGTCAAATTTTATTATGTACACAAAATGCATGACAAAAATTTCTTCATTAAAAATAAACAATTGTAGGCACACTGTCTATATACACCTTATGGTACACCCAAGCAGCTCACCCACAGCCTTTAACTATAAGAAATCTTGCCTGTCACAATAAAGTACATCCACCAATGAGATTACAGCATACAAACCAACTAAAACTTAATGCTGACTGGCTGTCATATCTGATTACACAATGTGTCCACCCAACAATGATTTCTACTTCATTTTGTTACTGAAATGTAAATACTGTTTGTGAAAAGAGGTATGGTAACACCCTAGCTCTTATATACAAAGTGAGATAACAATTGCTCGTTCTTCAAACATTTATAAAAAGAAGATGTGGAGAGAAAGACTGAAATGTCCTCAAATGAAAATCAACACAAATGAACAAACTGCTGTTTCAGATTTGTATGAACCTTTGATGACATCTAGAAATGCTTCAGCGAAAGGCCCTGGGCTTCAGAGTGATCTTATTTTTGAAGAAATTGGGCGCCGCATCAAAGGTGTTGGCAGTCAACTTGTGAAAAAGGTGAATGCTGTCTTTCAGTGGGACATCATGAATGGTGGAAAGATTGTGGCCCAGTGGACCCTGGATTTGAAGTCTGGTTCCGGTCAAATCTATCCAGGAGCATCTCACGAGCCTGCCAACACAGTTTTTATTCTTTCTGAACATGATTTCATGGAGCTTGCTTTGGGCAAAATAAAGCCCCAGAAGGCTTTTCTGATTGGGAAAGTGAAGGTGAAGGGCAATATTCTACTCGGTCAGAAACTGGAGATGATTCTCAAAGACTATGCAAAGATTTGAACTCCTTCCTTCCTGGCAATTGCAGTTCTCTTTTTCTCTTTAGTCAAGATGTTGGTTATAGAGGAGGATGAGATTAAAATGTGGAGTATTTTAATGGCAAACATAACTCTTCAAGTTTACATTTCCTTTA